CTTCACACCTCACATGGGCAAAAATTTCTTAGGGCACAAAAAGTATACATCCCCCAAAAATTGATAAATTGAACTACATGAAAAATTTCAAACTTTTTCTCTTTGCAAGATATTGTTTAAAAAATGAAAAATAATTAAGCACCACACCAGGAGAAAACATTGGGAAAACATATCTGACTAGGATCTGTATCCAGAATAACACATAAAGAACTCTCACAACTCAAAACTATGATGACAAATAACCTAAAAAACTGCAGAGGAGATCTGAAGGGGCACTTTTTTTAAAAAGATGTGAATATGATCACTAAGCACAAGAAAGTATATTCCTCAGCATCAGTTCTAAAAAATTCAAAACTATGATGACAAATAACCTAAAAAACTGCAGAGGAGATCTGAAGGGGCACTTTTTTAAAAAAGATGTGAATATGATCACTAAGCACAAGAAAGTATATTCCTCAGCATCAGTTCTAAAAAATTTGCAAATTAAAACCATGATGAAATTACACTACCCACCCACTAGAATGAAGACAATGTAAAAGACTGACACAGAGCAATGAGAACGCTAACACATGGCAGTTAGGAAGGTTAAATGGTAACTGCTTTGGGAAACAGTGTGGTCATTTCCTACAAAGTTGTACATACACCTACCATGGGCCCCAGCAGTCCCACTTCTAAGTATTTACCCAAGAAAACCAAAACCAAATCCAAATATCCTCGGAACACTTGTACACAAACATCCTTAGCAGGTTTATTCTCCATAGTAAAAGACTGGAAACAACACATGATCATCGATAGGAAAGCAGATGAGCAAATGGTGATGTATCTCTGTGATAAGATACTACAGGAACACAGATGAATCCAAAAAGACATTACGCTGAACAGAGGACGCCAGACACGCTACAGTACACATGCACGTTTTCCGTCCTCACTGTTGTGATTCAATTCAGATGAACTCTCGAAAGACAACTCTATTGTCCAATGACAGAAACCAGGTCAGTGGTTGCCTAAGGCTGGGTGGGGCAGGTATTAGGTAATGGAGCAGGACACAAGGGAAGGACAAGCTCATGTCTTCAATGTGTTGGTGGCTACATAGGTATATAAAATTGTTAGAAGGCAGAAATATATTACCAAAATGGAGCATTTTTAGAACATATAATGTAATTAGAAAAGAAAAAAAAACTTTCCTGAGTTGATAAAGAGAAAAATCTACCATACAAAGGCCTACATATTACTAGAAACATTAACGAAGACTTAATTCTAATAATATTTCATTCACGTACTGGTATTTTATTTTTACTTGAAGCTTAAATTTAAAAGTACCTACCTATATCACAATACAAATAAAAATACCTAAAAGAGAACATGAGGTAGAGTCTTCAAACAGAATGTGTATAACCCAGAAATGACTATTTTAAAGGGTGACACATCATCCTTTCTTGAGGACATTCATATTGAGTGCCCATCACATTTTCATAAAGAAATTCAGATTAGGACACAGAGAAAACTATATGATAATAGGCTCACATAATAAACTAGAAATGAAAAGCTTGGATTGAAATCAGTGCATAGTTTCTGATTCACAGTCACTACCAGCCCAGATATTCCAGGATTCCATGACAGGTCAGGAATGAGGAGGTAGGGGTGAGCTAGGACATGGGTCTAAAGTGATATGCAAAGTCAAGGAAGCAAAAGTAATCCCCCAAGTCCTCTTATCATATATTTACTCCACCTCCCATCTGCACTCCTACCCTAAGGTTTCAGAAGTACTTGGAAGAATCTTGCTAAGCCACTGTAAAGCCATCAGCATCATTCCAGCCTCTACTCCCTCATGTACCCAGACCATGGTGAGATTAGTGACCATTTGCTCTGGCCACGTCTACTACAGCTGAAAGACCAATGGGCCCTTAAATAGTTATTACACTGGACCTCTGCCCTTATTTAATGCTTAACTTGATGGAATTTAAAGGGCATTCAGAAGGGCTTTGCCCACCTCTGAGGTTCTCGCTCTACTGAGAGAGAGGTGGACTGCATCCTGAGGACCCGCAACCCTATTGTTCTAGATGTAAAAAGCCCTGTCTCACTTGTGCTGCATTTGCAGTTTTCAGAGTTCTCCCGTGAACTTGACCTTACCTGCCCCTACCACGACTGCCTGTGTGGTGTTCCTTTCACAGAGGGAGAATTAAACACTCAGAAATAAGCCACCACCTGCCTCAGCCACACAGCTGGGTTCCAATCCAAGCCTATAGCTCCAACCCTGTGATCTTGTTCTGCTAATATAACGGGGACACAGAAGGGATCACTGGGGGAGAAGTGGAGGCTTCCTAGCCCTAGCTCAGGCTGAACACTGAGGATGTGCTCATTCCTGCAGCCAGAGCTGTGGCCATGACAGCTATGAGGTCTGTACTACCTTAAGAGGGAGAGAAGTCCGTCCTTTCGAAGGCTTGACCAGTGTTTTGCATTGCAAGTGGAAGAGATTAGGATTTGTCTTGGAATTCCTTTGTTTGAAGAAAAACAGTCCAATAGTCCTTCTCATAATAAAATGTGAAGCTAAATTTTCTTATAAATTTGAGATATTTGACACCTGATCTTCCCAATAGGAAATGTTAGTCATGGGACTGAAGGGACTGAACCAGCAGCAAGAAGGACAATGTAGAGAGTGTCCTGGCAGCTGGCCTGGATTTGAGCCCCTTTGGCAGAGGGGAAGGGCCTCAAAAGAAAGGTTCTTTTCTCATGCAAGGCTGCAGGAGACTCTGGGGAGGAAGTGAGGACCTCAGAGGCACACAGAAAGGGGCAGAGGTGCTTGCACAGATCTGGCTCAAGCAGAACTGTTGCACACAGAAGACAAAGTGCACAGGGGTAATGAAGAGGCCCTGTCAGGGCTGGGATGCATGGTTCTGAAACACCTGGAGCTGATTTGTGGCCCAGGTTCTGAGGATCTCAGTGCAGGAACCACCAGCCAGACAGCCAAGGAGCTTCTCTAAGGGCCAAGCTGGGCAGAAATGCGGGCAACCTCTGAGGTGGGTCAGTCCCTCCTTGGGCAGAGGAGGTGGGTGAGGCTGCGGTCAGAGTGACACTGACGTGGGTGGAAGTGGCAGTGACATTGCTGGACTCTCCCACTTAGGGATGGCTGGGAGCCCGGAGGCCACCCTGAGAAAGGACACTTTCCTCAACGGTGCATGGAAGTCTTCTTCCAGGAATGTCCACCAAGCTATGGTTTTCAAAAGGCTTTGCAGATGTTGTTGGAAACACATCAGTATGTGTTTTATAGATTGGCCAAGTGTTACCTATAAAACATGCTTGCCAATATGATAGGTACAATTTAATTTCTTATTTTATCAATCTGAATTTCTTGGAATATTTCTGAAGTTAAATGTGTTTTCCAAGTTTTATTGGCCATTTGTGTTTTGTTTACTTCATGTATTGCCTGACAGTGTTATTGGCCTAATGAGGAGTGTATGTTTTTAAGCAATAAATCAGGGCTTTATTTTTCCTGATCTATGATGTATTTTTTTAATAACTTATTGAGTCAAATAACACAAAATGAACCATATAAGAGTGAACAATTCTGTGCCATTTATTGCATTCACAATGTCATGTCACCACCACCTCTGTCTGCTTCCAAGATATATCCATCTCTCCAAAGTGTACTTTTTCTTCATAGTGTTGAAATGGTTTGATTATTTGACAAAAGAAACTTGATTCTTAATATGTGAAAGCACAAATTGATAATTACATATAGTAATGCAGAATGTTCTCCATGGTGACATGTAAGGATTACAGCTGAGACACACATGAGGTCAAGTACCAGATCCAGGTTCACGGATTTCAAAAAATGCTCTCACAGTCTGGCTTTTCAATACAACTAAAAAGAACTCTGTTTGCAAAAATTGAATGGTTGATACCAAACATGATATTTTGTCCTTCTAATGCCAAATGTTTCTTTGTAAGAAGAATAAATAACATTCAATTAACAATAATAAATTTTTAAATCAATCAATCAATAACCTTTGCTTCTTAACTTCTTAGTGCAGTTGTCCTGACTCTGGGAGTGTCTATTTCCTGCCGGGGCTCCTGCAGCCAGTCCAATTATGCTCCTCCTCCACCCCTGCCGTGTCGTGGGAGCTGCTGCCAGCTGTCCCACTCATTCACAGAGAAATCAGCAGGGGTCACCCAGGGTGGGAAGGGTCTTTGAGACCTGTTTGAGGCTTTCTCTCTGATGAAAAATGCACTCAGAAAGAAAGTTCTGGCATAAAAGATAGAGGAAGTGGTCTGAAGCCTTTCAAAGGTAGCAAATACTTAAATAATGTTTTATAAAGTCACAGATTATTATTTTCAGTGTAACTCTGGCCCTTTTCCCCATGTCAGGAGGGCATCTACAGACACTTGCCTTAGCTCAGAGGCCACTGCATGTATTTTGTGAAGGCCAGGTAGGAATGTGCAGGATTTGCGGGCCAAATACACCTCTGTCACTCATTCCGTGTCGTTGTTGTTATAGTTTTTAATAGCCCCTTAAAACAATAGAAGCCAGTGTAGCTCTGGTCCATATAAAAACAGGCCTCGGGGCAAGTTTGGCCACCAGCTGTAGTGTGCTGACCCCTGGCTTGGGGCCCAGGGAAATAGCATAGAACAGAGTTGGGAGAATGATTTTCCACCTGGGTCTGTCCCCTTGGTCACGCTTCACCTCTCTTTGGACGGGAACCTCTCTAAGCTTGTTCAATGATTCCATGGCTGTGCCCAGATTTCCTAGTTGCACATATCTCCTGTGTAGCCAAGCATGAGCCCTGTCCTCATTTACACGCTTCTTATCACCTAAGCCACTGGTCTCCTGAATGTCCCCACTACTCAGAGCCTGGCATACTTTCCTGCCACCGTTTCTCCAGGCAACCCTCCCAGGTGACAGTAGGCATGAGGAACCAAATGAGTGAGGGAAGACAGAGCTTCTAAGAATAATGTCTACACACAAAGAAACAGGGCACTGCAAAAGAAATAATTCCACCAACCTGAGACAGGTCTCTGCTCTTCCTGCAGTTGGTCCCTCCGATGAAGACCATGTTGGGCATCACAGGCCTGGGATACTCGAACACAAAGTCATATCTCAACAGCCACACAGAGCCATTCTGATATAAGGTGGGTAAGTGCACCTCTCTCTCAAGGACATCCAAGGCTAGTTCTCCATACTTTGAATACAGACAATGAAACAGATAGTTCTCCAACAAACTAACCAGGAAGTTGGCCACTCGTTGGGGGAAAGTCATGTGGTCTGTGAACTCTGTGTAGCACCGGGGAACGTAGGACACAGGGTTTGGGGTTCTGGTGAACGCATACTCCAGTGAGCACGGGAAGCCCCTGAAGAGGTACACAGAGGGCAGGCCCAGGTATTCCGCCAGTATCACACCACAGGGTAAGGCCGGGTCTGTGAAAAGAGCATCGAACTTGCTCTCCTTGAGGAAATTCAGGGTGGCACGGTCCTTCAGGAGGCTCTGGCAGTTGATGAAGCTCAACTCAAGAACAATCATGCTATTCCTGTACTCTTTCTGAGCAGCAGTCAGAAATGATCTCTCAGCAAAGAGACTGTTTTCAAAGGAGCTGAAACGGTTCTTCAGCTCTTCTTGGAAATACGGCACTGGGTAGATTTCTCTTGTGTAGTATTTGGATTCTCTCAAAAGCAAATTGACTTCTGGCACCAGCACCACAATTTCATGCCCCCTGACACTGAGAACCTCAACTATGTGCTTCATACTAAGCCAGTGGCTTCCATCCAAAGGAACCACCAGCAGCTTGTCACCTACAACCATGCCCCAAAGTGCTAAGAAGAAAACACCTGCAGAACTTCTCTGAAATGCACCAAGAAGGCAGGCCATCCTGGAGGGGGTTAAAGCAACAACAATACTAAGTAGTTTAAATGCCCTAAACCACAGAGTAGATATATTCAGTAACAGATCTATTCTGTAAACCAACCTCTGCTTTTCATCCTGCTACGTCTCCCTTGCTCTGAATCTTCCCCTTTGATATAAAATAACCTAAGTTAATATTTAACCATTTTCAAGCACACAGATAACTTCAACCAATTAAGCCCCTTATCAACTATCACCGGAGTTTCTAGGTTTACTGTTCTCTTCATCTCCACCCATCTGCCTCTTCCTCTCTGAAGAGTCGCAGCACCAGTATGAGGACAACCTGAAGGGACCCCTGTGCCCACAGCCTTCTAATGTGAACTCTCTGGCTCCTCCTCATTGTTCATGTCCATGGATGAACAGCTGTCAGTGCTTTTCCACTTTCTTGTCAACTTTTCTCAAAACAGAAAGGAAGCATTAACTGTTAAATTATAGTAGCATCACTACTTCCACCAGGGATCATGCAAAAATTAGCCAAATTAATCCTCGTGTGGGCCAGAACAAGTCCCTCAGTGGGGCTCCTCTGTNGCAGAGGGCAGGCCCAGGTATTCCGCCAGGATCACACCACAGGGTAAGGCTGGGTCTGTGAAAAGAGCATCGAACTTGCTCTCCTTGAGGAAATTCAGGGTGGCACGGTCCTTCAGGAGGCTCTGGCAGTTGATGAAGCTCAACTCAAGAACAATCATGCTATTCCTGTACTCTTTCTGAGCAGCAGTCAGAAATGATCTCTCAGCAAAGAGACTGTTTTCAAAGGAGCTGAAACGGTTCTTCAGCTCTTCTTGGAAATACGGCACTGGGTAGATTTCTCTTGTGTAGTATTTGGATTCTCTCAAAAGCAAATTGACTTCTGGCACCAGCACCACAATTTCATGCCCCCTGACACTGAGAACCTCAACTATGTGCTTCATACTAAGCCAGTGGCTTCCATCCAAAGGAACCACCAGCAGCTTGTCACCTACAACCATGCCCCAAAGTGCTAAGAAGAAAACACCTGCAGAACTTCTCTGAAATGCACCAAGAAGGCAGGCCATCCTGGAGGGGGTTAAAGCAACAACAATACTAAGTAGTTTAAATGCCCTAAACCACAGAGTAGATATATTCAGTAACAGATCTATTCTGTAAACCAACCTCTGCTTTTCATCCTGCTACGTCTCCCTTGCTCTGAATCTTCCCCTTTGATATAAAATAACCTAAGTTAATATTTAACCATTTTCAAGCACACAGATAACTTCAACCAATTAAGCCCCTTATCAACTATCACCGGAGTTTCTAGGTTTACTGTTCTCTTCATCTCCACCCATCTGCCTCTTCCTCTCTGAAGAGTCGCAGCACCAGTATGAGGACAACCTGAAGGGACCCCTGTGCCCACAGCCCTCTAATGTGAACTCTCTGGCTCCTCCTCATTGTTGATGTCCATGGATGAACAGCTGTCAGTGCTTTTCCACTTTCTTGTCAACTTTTCTCAAAACAGAAAGGAAGCATTAACTGTTAAATTATAGTAGCATCACTACTTCCACCAGGGATCATGCAAAAATTAGCCAAATTAATCCTCGTGTGGGCCAGAACAAGTCCCTCAGTGGGGCTCCTCTGTCTCTGATCAGGCAGCTGAGTTCTGTGGTATGAACTGAGGGCCACTATGGTAACCAAAAAGCAGTTCCTGAAAAATCTTAATGAGCAGAAGATCCAGCCCCACCCTGTGAATGAGGGAAGTAGAACAGGAAGAAAGGGGGACAGAAGAGAAGGTGGAAAAATAAAAGATGCAAGAAAATCTGGAACTATAAACAGTGAGAAGGCGGCAGGGTTACAGGGCATTCAGATGTCAGCAAATGGACAAGCCAGAGGCTGAAACATAGAGAAGGTGGCTCTAGCTGCAGGAACCTGATTCCTGCAGAGCACGTTCAGCCTTACAAAACATTGGCTCAGTGTTTTGGTTGCTATGGCTATCCTCACAAAGTACGACGGGTGTCCAAAACATCAGCTCTGGAGGCTGGAAGTCTGCGCCAAGATGTCACTGCTCTTATGCAATGCTTAACTTTACGGGTTCTTTTCAGGGTCACTGACTTGAACACTTCCAAAGGGCACCATCTCACTAGCACATGGCACAGGGCACACCCTTGAGGTGGTGCAAGGCCACAGCCTGGTTCTCTTGCTTTCCTAGCTCTCCCTTTGCCCCTGCCAGGGCTAGGTTCATGCATGAGCAACCTGTGCAGTCACATTGTACTCCACATTTAGAAGAGGCTTTCACTTTGCTTAATACTGTGCTGTCACTCTCATGAAATTCTTCACAATTTCTGTATTGTACAATCGGACCCTCATTTGCGTTTTGCACTGGGGCACACAAGTTATGTAGCTGATCAGTAATGGACCCACCTGCTCAGAGCATTAAATGATACTAGTGTAATGGTGAATTTCTTTAATATACTTGTCAATATTATCTCACTACTATAATTTGAGGTAGAACCTCTACATCCTAGATCTATCAACTCATCTTCCTCCCTCTTCAAACTGTTTCCCAGACCCACAAGCCATTTCTCTCTCTGACAGCAACATTACCAGCTTCTCATAGGTGAAGGTAAGCACCTCACTTCTAATTCTTGCAAAAGTTTTTATTACCATTAAATTTGCCTAATATGCATCTGCTAAAAATATGTGCAATTTTCAAGGACAAGGTATGGTTCAACTCTGAAGACAACTCTGTAACAAGTATCATTTCAAAGGCACAAATCAAACAAAAGTAAAACTCCATTTTATAGGACCTTCCAACATAAACAAAAACTGAGAGAATTTGTTGCTAGCACACTCAACATCCAAGAAATTCTAAAGGAAGATTTTCAGATTGAAAGCAAGTGACCCCATACAGTAATATGAATCCACACAAAAGAACAAAAAGCATCCTTAATAGAAGTCATGTAATTATAAAAGACAAATATGTATTTCTTCTCTTTTATTCTCTTAACTGATTTAAAAAGCAATTCTGAAAAACAATACGTATGTAATTGTATTGTTGGGCCTACAACACACAAAAGTGTAATATATTTGACAGTAACAGCACAAAAGAGGCGGGTGGAAGCAAAGCTGAATTGAGCGAGGAAATGACACTAGATGGTAACTCAGATGAACAAGAAGAAATGAAAAGAACCAGAACTTATAAACAAGAACAATATAACAAAAGCTTTAAATGCATATTTGCTCACCTTCTCTCAGATTCTCTAACACATGTACATTTATATGAAGTAATACTTTGACCACACATCGTTGGGTATCTAATGTATAGAGATGCTACACATAAAACAATAATATTGCAAGAATGGGGGAAAGGAAATAGAGCTACATAGGAATAAAATTTCTATATTTAACTGGAATTACATTAGTACAAATCTGAAGTAGATACTGGATAGTTAAAATGTATATCTAAGCCCTGAAACACCAGACAGAAAATAACTTTTAAAAATAGTGGGAAAAATTATTAAAGGAATTAAAATGTTACAACAAAAAATATTCACTTAATGCAAAAGAAAGTGGTAAAGGAGTAATAGAGGAACAAAAAAAGAGACATGAGAGATATACAACATAAAAAGCAAAATGGCAGATAAGTTCATCTATATCAATAATACCATTAAATGTAAGTGGATTAAACAACCCCAATTAAAAGACAGAGATTGCCAGACTGCATAAAAACAACACTCACCTATACCCTGTCTACAGAGTAAAAACTGCAAGTTCGAAAAATACATTGCATAAAGTGAAACGATGGAAAAAATTACATCATAAAAAAAACCATAAGAAAGTTGAAGTGGCTATACTAATATCATATATAAAATATTATTTAAAAGAAAAAATATTACTAAAGATAAAGAAGTCCAGTGTGTCATGATGAAAGTGTCAATCTGCCAGGAATCAAACAAATCTAAACACAGAGCCAGCAGAATGAAGGAAAGAATAAACAGTAGAGAGAAAATTAATGACAGAGAATACAAAAACAATAAAGAAAAGCAACAAAACCCAAATTGGTTCTTTAAAAATATCCACATAATTGACAAACCTTTATGTAGACTGACAAAGAAAAAAGGACAAAGACTTAAATTATGAAAATCAGGAATGAGAGAGAACATTACTACCAACTTATGACAGATGCAAAAGTCTTCAACAATATAATATAAAACAGAGTCTAGTAACTTATAAAGAGGATTATATAGCATGACCATCTGGGATGATCCTTGGAATACAAGGATGGTTTAACCTGAAAATTAATTAACAAAATAGACTATGTCAGTAGAAAAAGAGCCAAAAACACATGTTCATATCAAAAGACAGAGGAAAAGCATTTGCTAAATTCCTTTGCCCCACATATAAAAAGAATACTCAATAGTATTGTGTGACTATGTCTCCCAAAACTCATGTGTTGGAAACTTAATCCCAATGCAACAGCAGTGGAAGTGAGGCCATATGAGAGGAGTTTTTGTTGTGAGGGCTCTGACCTCATGAATAGGATAATGCCATCACAGAAGGGCTTGATAAAGGGAGTTTGTTTTGCCTTTCCAACTTCCACTAGATGAGGATAAAACCTACCACCTTTTCAGAGCACGTAGTGTTCAAGGCACCATCTTGGAAACAGAGAACAGACCCTCACCAGACATCAAACCTGCCACTGCTTTATCTTACCATTCCCAGCATCCAGAACTGTGACAAGTATATTTCTGTTCACGATAAATTACCCAATCTCAGGTATTTTGTTATCTCAGCACAAAACAAACTACAACACTCAACTAGGAATAGATGAGAATTTCCTCAGTCTGGTCATTTGGGCATCTATAAAAAGATCTCCAGTTAACGCTTAATGGTAAAAGACTAAATGCTTTCTCTCTAAGATCAGGAACTAGAAATGGGTGTTCTCTCTTCCCCCATCTATTCAACATTGTACTAGAGGATTTAGCCAGGGCTATTAGACAAGCAAAAGAAATAAACTTCATCCAGACTGGGAATGAAGAAGTAAAGCTATGTGTATTGGTAAAGGACATGATCTGTGTATAGAAAATCTTAAGAAATCCACTAAAAAACTATTAGAACAAATAAACGAGTTTAACAAGGTTACAGGGCAAAAGATGAATATATCTTTAAAAAATAAATTGTAGGGGCCGGCCC